CTTTTTTTTTTTTTTTTTTTTTTTTTTTTGTAGATTGAGTTTTGCGAAAGGACAGCACTTTATGAATAATGTATTACGCTTAGCTGCGTTGTGTTGTGAATTACGTTAGAAGTTTACTTTAGCAATTGCTCAACTTTGAGCGCATGTTGCCTGTAACAGCATATAAACGATACTACTTATGACTATATCCAAAAACGGCAGGTGTAACTCAAATACCATGATTTTTCTATGATAAAAATGGATAGGCTGTTGTGAATTATTTCGTATGTCGAAATTTTAGGAATAAGGATTTATGTGTAGCTATCTGAAAAAGAAATCGCATGCTGTATATAGACAAAAGTAAGAATCCACAACATAAATTTGATTTACCTAACTCATATCGTTCATGAGTTGAATGCTATATACAATGGTATATATGGCAAATGCTAATGTACAATAATCTACTTTGTCAATACTAAACTATTCAATAGTTATACAAGAGTTTAAATCATATTTGGTGTCTCTAGCTCCTACAGTTCCTGAGTTCAGTGGGTTACTATATACAGCTATAAAAGATGATTGCAGTTAAATATGCCACGTTTAGTATCTGCAGATCTCATATATACACAGGTAAATAGGTCATATCATGAAATATAGGATATATGATAGCAAAGAATAATACATTAGCAGCTCACTCTTTATCTCCCTATATTCCCTAAACTACTACCTGTATAATACTTAAATCCCTAAATTCAATGTGTTATCTCATATGACAATGAGATATATCACCTATAATAACATCCATGACCTTATATACCAAATTTAATGTCTCTAACTCTTTTACTCTCCCATATATAACATAAATCATAGAAATATCTCAATTTTTACCTTCCCTGAAAATAGTTAACATCACTTTAAAGTTAATCCAACTTTGTGCGCAAGTTTAAAGGTTACTTACGCTCTGTACTCACTACAATAAATAAAACAATTTGAAATATGCTGGCCCCAGTGTTGAACTTAGTCGTTATTTACTGTATCTGTACGCCTGACAATGTTTGTTCAACACTTTACGCGCCACTCAAAGGCTCAAGGGACCAACACACACACACACACACACACACACACACACACGTATACACCTGCACAATAACAATTGTAAATATTTTTGCTGCTGCTCTACGGGAAAAATAAAAAAATAGAAATAAAATGGAAAAACATGACGATAGAAAAAAAAAGGGAAACTGAAATTGCTGCACTTGGAAATGGCGTAATAGCATGGAAAATCTATTGAGCACTCACAGCGATATCGATAGGTAATTAATTCAGAAATTATAGCGTCCAAATAGTTGCAAACACTTTTGCTCTTGTTCTATGCTTTTCTCTCTGTGTTTACAGAGCAGCCAAAAAATAAGCCTAATTGGGTTATCAATAAATCGTACGTAAAATATAGGCCAATTTATGGGATTGCAACATCGACATACTGTTCGTGTGGTTGTCTTTCTGTATGTCTGTCTGTGTGAGTGGGTGGATGGGCGTTCGGTTGTATTGGTGCTGTTTCGGCACCATCATCAAACAATGCGTTCCGACTGCTGTTGAATTTGTAAAGCGAAATGCAACGCATAAATTAGCATCGAAATAAAATTGCCAAAAACTGTGAATTGTTTGTGTAGAGAATTAGCACCCAACTAAACAGGATTTGCAAATTATAATGCAAACAAATTAAAATAATCAATACGCTGATAAGCGAAGAAAGGCGGAATAAACAGGTGATGTTTTGGGGAGATTGAATGGGCACATTGTGTACTGAGTGAACTAATAACGTTAGATATGTATGTGCAATTAACTGTTATACTCTCATATACATATAACATTAGCTATGTATATATATACATCTTAAATACCATGTGAGGTAGAGTAGATCTAAATATATAAAGATTATGTTAACATATGCTGTTATACTGTTATATACATATAACTGTTATACTGTTATATGTATATAGTATCAGTATGATGCAATGTAGAGTAGATCTACAATTAAATCCATTATGTCAGCATAAACTGTTATACTGATATACACATATAACATCAGATATGTGTATATAGTTCTGTTCTGTAGTATATCTATATTTAAAAAGATTGCATTGATGTACATAAAAAGACTAATATTTATAATATTAAATTAAAATTAATTCAAAAATCCAAAACCCAATTCCAATTGCGATTACCTAAATTTTCTGCTATTTCATAGATAGTATACGGCGATTCCTACATATTTATTTGGCTTGATTGTACAACCTTGGTTGCACAAAACTACTCACCTGTGTTCTTGTTAATCGTCACCACCTGCTCATTGGAGCTGCTCCAAATCGATGACAATGTTAGCGGTGAATCGAAGCAAATGATGTCACCCACTGAGAAAATTGTCTGTTGGTCGTTTTTTGCCGCGGAGGAGGCGTGGTTGAATTTTATTTGAGTTTTTTCCCCCGCCATTTTCGTGGTGTTGACAGATTCCGTAAAAAATAGTGACGCAGTGTGTCAATTGTGAATAGTTATTTGATGGCCGCATGCGGAAAAAAGTTGAAAGAGAAATTGATTTATGAGCAAACGAGCGAGATCAAATCAAATGTTAAATTCACACCCTGTAAGAAGCTTACAGCATTACTTAACTAACTTTGCAGCAAGCTGACAGAGCTTTAAATTAAAAACTGGCGTGCATATAGACGTATACATATATATATGTATAGACTTACCCGGGTGGGGTATATAAGCTTCGACTCGGCCACAGACAGTTTAATGTAATCCTCAGCATGTTTAACTCCGGTTGAATCCTTTAAACTGATGGCAATCATGTTGCTTGTCTCGCGTTGCAAATTCAACTGTGGGTGAAATGCAAAAAAAAGGGAAATACATATAGTATGTATATATATATAGATAGCTGTACATATATACAGTTAGTCGAGTTTAATTGGGTTAGAGCTTTATCTCGGCCGCCCCCTTTTGGGCTGTGCATTTGGAATTTAATGCATGTTTTTCGTAGCCAGCTTCAAGAGTTTTGTGTTTGTGGTCGACGGTCAGTCGACAGCCCCAATTTTTAAGAGCCAAAGCTGCATGTGCGACAACGCATCGTTGCATTTTTATGTGGTGACATCAACGTGCCACAGTCCAGTAAAATAAAAGAAGTTAAATAAAAAGGCTTCACTGCCGAAGATCTAACGAATGTGCTATACTCTAGCTGACTTCAGGCAGGAGTCACACACAGCTATTCCTAACTGATTATTCCTCTTTATTTGGGGAAAATTTTGTCGTATCTGGATTTGAAGACGCGAAGCTTTCATTCAGAATTGATAGTTTCTATTTAATAGATAGTTTAGTCATAACTAAAACATCTAAGGTCTAAGCTACAATATGTTTCTACAGTTCCATTCAAATATCTACAAAAGCAAGCAGCTGTATATCATAAAAATCCAATAAATATAAATATATATATTTATATATATACCAACTAGAACAATAACAAACAGCTATGGCAATTTTCATAACAATCTGCCAAGGCTAAGCTGAGTTCAGATCGTTGACTAAGATATTTTTACGACTTAGCTCCTCTGTTGACTTTTATGAGCAACGAAAAATGCCCGCTGCTAGAGTATAATAGAACGAAAATAGTGCTGGCCAAGCCAAGCGACGTGCCATGCGGCCGAACGCTGAGATTCTATTCCTTTCTTCTATTTTTTTTTTTTTTTTTTAAGTCATTTTTTCCCAGTTCTTTTTCTGCTGCAGGAGTGAGTGGAGCTCAGGTGGCAAGGCAGGTCTTTGGAAGTGCATTAAAATGCAGCGGTTTTGTTGTTAGCAGGCACACCAAAAAATGAAATTGAAATAACTTGCTAGCACAAAGTTTAAAGTTCACATTTACATATAGACGAGCCGGCAAAGTCGAAAAGTAGAAGTCGGCATAAATATGTACACATAAGACTGTCGACACTTGACTCTCGACACACGAATCCAGACTCTAGACTCCAGTCGCTCGCCTCTCGACTCTGGACAGTCGACTCTGAAGACGAGTGTCAAAGGAGTTGCTCTAGCACTTACCGCAATTGTCAGATTATTTCCAATCTGTGCATCGACCACATCCTTGGTGGCCAAATCGTAGCGTAGTCCATTCACATCCTCAATATTGTGGGAGAACTCGTTGCCGAGATTGTCGTGCAGCGAAACTTTAAACACGAAATTCATGCCGCGTGGTATTTTATGCTCCAGCTGCTTCAATTTAATGTCCGGCTGCAAAGTGACCAAAATGTATTGTACGTTCTTCACTTCAATGCCAATGGGCAGCGTCTGGTCGACAGTTTTGGCCTGACAAAAAAGAAAAGAAACAAGCAACCACAATATATAATATATATACTTATATATGTATCAAATCAAATGCAATTTCCAGTAGGTAAGCCGATTTAAGGCCCCAGCACACTCACAATTATCAGATCACGGCCGAGGGTATCCTTTGTGTGTACAACACCATCTGGCGTCACTGAAACGATGCCGCTACTTTGGCCATCCAACTTATAGACCGCATCATCCATATTACATTTCAACTGTAGCGTACTTCGTGGCGCCGCCAAAATCCAATCCATTGTTATGGGCTTTGGTGCGAGCAGCTCCAGTGTTTTGAAAACTGTGCAACGATAAAAATTTCAATTTGCGGTTCTCGCTCTCTCCCTCTCTCTCCTCGATACACAATTTCACTTGTGGTAAAAAAAATGAAGAAAATACTTACCAATTAGCTCCACACTGGACGCGGGCAGCTTCAATCCATCCGGCAGATGGACAGAGGCCGTGATGGTGACCTTGCCGGGATTGAGTGCGCGTATACGTACGGAAATTAAATCGGTGCTTTGGTACTCGATGCCTAAAAGAGCGAAAGATGAACAATTAGAGATTTTGTCGCAGTGAAGTCGTCTAAACATATATGCATATACAGTAGAATCCCGATAGTTCGAAATAACAAGGGGAGCAGTTCTTTTTATTTCGATTTACGCGGAAATTCGATAATAACCAGGATTATTGAGAACGAATTTCCTTCAAGGGAATAGAATTTTTTCGATTTATCGCGATTTTCGATTTAGCGGGGTACGAATTATCGAGACTCGACTGTATATAATTGATGTTATTGGGCTACATCTAATATAAATTAAGTTTTATAATAATTCGCCCTCAAACGCTTTTCCATATGTGAAAGTGGTTTTAATATATATATATATATGTATATACATAGTTATATTACTATATACCACTTCAACTTTTTGGGAGACTCTAAGAAATTAATTTCTCTAACAGTTAGAAATCTAAATGCTTCTAGCTTTTGCAGTCTACAGCTTTAGCTTGAAGCCTTGTAAGTTCCGTATCTGTTCCTGCACTGGAGCTCAACCATGCAAGCTCATCGTAGAACTGTTTGATCTGCGTGCACTTGGTGGGCATTGAGCTGAAATCTCTGCGCAACAACGCGGTATCTGTGCACGCTGACAATAAATAATATTCATAAATATATATACATAGTCAACTCACCCGCTGCCGTAAACACATTGAAGATCTCCACAACATCCGGCTGATTGACTGACCAGGTTATACGCATATTCTCCAGTGTGCCCAGCACCATGGGCGACAGATCTGGCTGGCCCCACAGCGTGGCAGGCATCACAGCTCCTGAGCGTATGCGCACAAGCGGCGTGCGCACCTGGACGGCAGTTAGAGCGACAACGCGCACGTCCACTGTATCCTCGGAGACAATCTCATCCTTGCCACTGATGGGGTTCTTCAGCAAACAGCGGCCAGTTATGCGCGTAACGCCCAATTTGTGGGCTGTAACTATGGCAGAGCTCATAGCTGTGCAGGCGGAAGAGTAATACAATTAATAGATCTATTTGTATAGCTACTAGAACCGCCCACTTACTTGCCACCTTTTCCTCGTGCACGGTGTAAACGATATTGGTATTTGGCTGCGGTCCGCCCTGGTAGTAGATTTGTATGCTCGAGCCCACGACGAGCGTGGAGTTCCTGGGATAGAGACGCATGGGCGCAAAGACCTGCACGTTGAGCGGTTCGCTGGACACCTGACGCTCCCCCTTGCCCGACTGGAAGATAACCTTGGTCTCGCCAATGTTGTTGCCCATTATGCTGTAGCGTATTTCGCCAACGTTCAAATTGTCCTGCTCATCCAGCTTGACAGTCAATATGGTGGGATCGAACACCAACTGCGATAGCTGATAGACGCTCAGCATATTCGGATCGATGTGCAATGGATTGTCGTTCGTATCGAACAATCGCACAATGGCCTCGATGGTATTCGTTCGCTCCACTCGATCCAGGGCACGCACAGTGATCGATCCAATGCCCACCACGGAGATGGACAAATGCGTCGGCTCGTTCATTAGACAGAGATCGGTGAGCTCCAATCGCACATGACCCAAACGCTGGGGAGTCAGCACCAACTGCTGTAGCTTCTCGTCATGGGTCACTTGCACCACGCCCTGCTCGGTGAGCTCCAATTGAAAGAATCCGCTGCCCTGAGCTATGGAAATGTGCTCGCTGTGCGAGGGCGCCAAGTAAATGCTGATATGATCCGTCGGCAGCAATGTGCTATTGACTGTATGGAAACGAATCTCGTTCTCAATCACAGGCTTCGTGATTTCACCTGTCTTCACCTGCAATAATGAAGGTATATTAGAAATATATAAGGCTATTGGATATCACATGTGCTCACATTCTTCACTCCAAAGTTGGGATGCTCTGGCTGGATGCCCAGCTGCGAGAGCAGCTTCGTGTGATACCGTGCGACTGTGCCCTTGATGCGGAAATTAGGCGCCACCTCATTCAAGGTCAGGACTAGCACATCTCTGCTGGGCAATTGTACGTTATGATAGAGCTCCACTTCGGCCAGCTGCTTGTGGGGAATGCTGTCCGTTTGATAACGCTCATCGCCTGCAGCAAACTCCCATTCCAGCCCCAGCGAGCTGATGTTCATTAGCTTGCGATTCTTCACATCCTGCACCTCAATCTCAATCTTAAACTTGTTCTCCTCATCCTTGAGGTACAACAGCGAAGAGCGCAGCTCCACGGGACACGACTGGCGCAGTTGCTGCCGCGCATAGAGCTTGAGGAAACGCGGCCGGACGCAGTGCACCTTGGTGGTTATCTCGGCGTGGTAGGCAGCAAAGTTGGGTGCGGACAGCTGATTGTGCACACGATACGTGAACTCCGTTTCTCCCAGCTCCCGGCAGAGCACAGTGAAGGCCGTCAAAGCATTCTGAGTATCGAAATCGATTTCCGACACTCTGAGAACTTTGCCATCGAATTTCGTGTCCTTGGTGAGCTCCGCCTCGAGCGTAAAGATGCGTTGGGGTCCATGGGCATAGATGACATTGCGTGAGGCGCCAATGGGCAGAACTATTTCATTCTCTACAGGATTCAGCACTGCAAGCGGCTCAAAGACATGCAAATCAACGGAGTCCTGCAGGACTTTGTCCTGGAAACTGTATGAGATGCGCAGCAGGGTGCTGCCCACAGCAGTGCTGCGCAGTTTGAGGATATGACAAGCCTCCGGAGCCAGTACATCCCGTGCGTCCGAGGTTGGTCCGTTTTCCAGCTGCAATATCTGATGGGAGAAGTCCAGCTGGAAGTGCAAGTTATCGCACTTGGTATAGGGCACATAGCTGCCATTGACATGAGCGTAGACAGCCACATGGAGTCGCACGTAATCCCTCAGAGCAGTCTCAAAATTGTATTGCTTGACCTCCAGACGTTTCGGTGGCAAAAAGTAGATTTGGGCTTGCCGTGAAATCTTTTGATTCTTAGCCAATCCCACCCGAACTGTGGTGTGTGCCGTCAGCTGCAAGCCCGAGTCAGTTATCTCCTGCGACACACCCGCCATGCGCACATCTCGTATCTCCGTGGTGGCCAAGCCTTGGCCATCGATTTGCAGCAAATGGGGATTACCCGAGTACCACACGTAGTTGGAGTCACCGCCACTGGCATGAAATTGAAACTTCTGCGGCTTTATGGTATTCGGGTCGTAGGGCAGAATTACTTTGACGGGTTCCAGTGTGAGCTCCCCAAAGATTTGCATCTCTGCCTGCACCGAGAGCTGTAAAAGATCGTACATTAATATACAATACACTCTATAAAGCAGTAAATATATTTTACATCCTTATAAGAGCCATATATCTGGGTGGATCCTTGTCTTCGCGTCTCTCCGTACAATCGACTGCCATTGCGCGTCCTCTGGAGTATCTTGAACAGACCCTCGTCCACCTCGGAGCCAATATTGTAGCGAGTGCCGAGCGTAATCTTCTGACCATCGGCGGAATATAAATCCAATGCAACCTCATGCCGCTCGCCCTTCACAGTAATCCAATTGTTGTGCGGCAGCAAGCTAATGCCAAGTTTCTGGGGCTCCGCAACGGTCAGCAGAGCGCTGGGTCCTTTGGGCTTCTCGGCTGAGCTTTCTTTGGGCATGTTGTGATCCCGTAAATAAACCTGAGTGCGACCCAGCCGAGAGGCCGTGGCTACGCTGCCCTTCATATAGGCCACATTCTCGTCCTCCACCTCCAAATAGTATTGCTTATTAGCTGTTATATCATGAAGTCTGTCCATTTTAAGCTGCATTATGCGAAAGTTGATCGTATCGCCAGCCATGATGGTCACCTCCGAAGGCTCAATTATGATGTTGGCCAGCACACTGATGTACACCTCGACGGGCGGGACATGCCTGTACTCTGGCTGGGGCATGCTCACAGAAACTTTGGAAGTGCCCGTATTGATGCCCTCCAGCAGGATCATATAGCCCTTAACGCCAGCTGCTTCGAATTTCTCCAGTGACGGCGGCACTACATGGAACGGACTGTCCGAGAAGGTGAGGAAGCGTAGGGCAGGTGGCATATTATTGCTCGGTGAGGATATGTCCCAGTTGAACTCGATGCCCTCCAGCGTAAAGAATTCATTGCCTTGCGAGTCGAAGGCGTGCAGTTCGAACGTCGCTGGCGCTTCCTCCAGGTAGAGCTGCCTGGTGGCTGTGCGCACATTCAGCCGGTCAATCGTATCCACAATCACATCGCAGCGGAGCGTTGCGCCCGTGGCCACCTCCTCGGCGAAGACAATCGCCGTGTTGCGACGCCGCTCACGTGTCTGCACCGTGACTATGGCCTGGCTGGAGCACTCCGAAAATCCGTTTTGCACAGGCGTGACACTTATCAGATCTTGGCGCGAAGATGTCCTAAAAATAAAGCCATTAATATAAGTAATCTGCTTTTAGGTTATAAAGCAGACGCCGGCTGCTGCGAAATTTCACCATTTGTAGCAATTGGGATCGACGACTTCCAGCGTGAAATTGATGGATTTGTCTTGAAATATCGGCAGCAGAACACGCGGATGATTCAATTTCGCCGATTCACACACATTTTGTGATACAAATAGCAGTAGAAATAAACAAAATACTTTCTGCATTTTGGCACATGTAAGCGTCCGTTTCAAAGAATCGCGTTGTTTTCTACTGAACTGACTCAAATGTGATAGCAAATGAACAGACAGTAAAGCGATATGTGGCTCATACAAGCGAATGAATAAGCCTATCGGAACCACGAGTCTATCGATATGATTGCAGTTCCAGATTTTGGCGCCAATTTATGGTTAGCTGATTTATCAGCTATAAACAAAGAATATTTACTTTTCATGTGTCATTATATATATTTATATTATCCATTAATAGAAAATATAAGATAACAATTCATTATTAATTATGAATTTTCCAATGATGTAACCAATAACCACACAATAGTTCAAATGAACCAAATTGCTCATCACCATACAGCAAGTATCGATTCATAAACACACAAAGCTATCGAGCCACTTAATTGCGCGGCAATTCAAATGATTTGATAACAAATTTATTTTGTAAAAACAAAAATATAAAATTTACAGCTTGGCAAATGGACCTTCATCGTCTAAAAATATATCTAATTGCAGGTTGTGCATGTTCTCTGGGCTGCAAGCATACTTGCTAAAATCTCTAACACCCACATCCAATAAAACCTCATCGTCCATGAAGAAATTGCCAGTGTATTCCCTGGCATCTCTGCAAATAATAGCATAGGCGGCATCTGCCATTATTTCAGGTTTCCGTGCGTATTTCGCACTCTCCGAACCACTCAGCATTTCAATTGCAGCCGTATGAATTGTTGTCCGAGGCCAAAGGGCATTGACGGCCACGCCTTGTGAACGGAACTCCTCGGCCATGCCAAGGACACACATCGACATACCGTATTTGGCTATGGTGTAAGCTGTGTGATTGGCAAACCAGTGCGGCTTCATGTTCAGAGGGGGAGATAGGTTCAAGATGTGCGGATTATCGCTCTTCAGCAGATAAGGCAAACAGGTTTTGGAACTGCAAGAATTAAGAAATCTTGAAAGAGATCCCATTTCCATAAGCCAAAGAACTCCACTTACACCAGGAAAGTGCCTCTTGTATTTATATTCTGCATCAGGTCATAGCGCTTCATGTCCGTGTCCAGGGTCGGCGTAAGGGATATGGCACTCGCATTGTTAATAACAATATCAATGCCTCCGAATTTTGCCACGGCTGCTTCAACCGCCTGTTGCACCTGTCTTTCATCGCGTACGTCCACAATGCAGGGCAAAGCTTTGCCACCTGCCCTTTCGACTGTGGATTGATATCAAGATAACACAAATCATTTCCAGTTGAACTCAAGTACAAAGTGCACTACGTACTCTCCTCAGCTGCCGAATAAATTGTGCCAGGCAATTTTGGATGTGGCTCAGCTGTTTTAGCAGCTATCACAATATTTGCGCCATCGCGCGCTGCTTTCAAAGCGATTGCCTTGCCAATGCCACGAGATGCACCTGTGATGAACAGTGTCTTGCCCTGTAATTTTCTACTTGCTTTGTCAATTTAATTCACTCACAAAGGTCAAACTTCAATAATTACCCGGAGTTCCTCATTCTCACTGTTAGCAAACTTTCTGCCAATCTAAAGCACTAAGCAAAGAACAACGTCTAAAGAGAGCAATAAGCAAAGTGACCAGATCGTGATCGATTTAAAATGTCTATTGTTTACATCTCATCAATATGAGTAAAGAAACTGACTATTTTAACATTAGATAGGTGGTCACACTTAAGCGCCTTACTTTTAAATAAATAACTGACACATTTTACATCATTTCAAATTGCCGCTCTCGCGCCTCTAAGTATTTCCACGAAATCTTTAATGCTTAACGGAACGATCACACACTTCACTTTACTTTTACTGCACTGCACGACTGACCCCCACCAGGCCTGCGCGACTAAAGAATTGCTACAGCTTCTGCTCTTTATATAGGCATCAGCCTAAGTTGTTCTCAAATGTTGAGCCCGGTGAGAGGTAGAGGTCGTTGCTCGGTCGGAACGCTCTCTGCTGTGTTAAGCATTCTAGCTTCGTTTTACTACATATACACAAAATTAATTATCTCTGTGGCTCTTCTTCGTCTCTTGCTTTTGTTAGGCAGACAGACAGAGAAACGAATGTAGGTGGCTCTTCTATAGCCTTTATACAATTATAAATTCAACAATTAATCACAAAATAATTGTTTTACAACTTAGCTAATGGATGTCCATCCTCTATAAATAAAGCTACACTCAATTTATGTTTATTTTCTGGATGGCAGGCATATTTGCTCAAGTCTGTGACGCCTTCATTCAACAAGACTTCTTCGTCAATGAAAAAGTTTCCCGTAAATGCTGTAGAATCTCTACATATTATGGCATACGCAGCATCTGCCATTATCTCTGCTTTGCGTGCAAGTAATTCACCCTCAGGTCCATAGAGCATATCAATTGCTGCCGTATGAACTTTATAGCGAGGCCAAAGCGCGTTTACTGCCACGCCCCTGTCGCGAAATTCCTCGGACATGCCCAGAACACACATTGACATGCCGTATTTGGATATAGTATAAGCAACGTGATCTGCCACCCATCGGGGACTCAGGTTCAGAGGGGGAGCCATGTTCAAGATGTGAGGATTATCGCTCTTCAACAGATAAGGCAAACAGGCTTTGGAGCTGTAGAGATAAAGCTGAAATTATTTTCAGATTCAAAGATGATATGATAAACATTGCACCTACACCAAGAAGCTGCCTCTAGTGTTCACATTCTGCATTAGATCATAGCGTTTCATATCAGTTTTAAGTGTAGATGTTTTTGATATAGCACTCGCATTATTTATCAATATGTCAATGCCTCCGAATTTAGAAACGGCTGCTTCAACCGCCTGTTGCACCTGCCTTTCATCGCGTACGTCCACAATGCAGGGCAAAGCTTTGCCTCCAGCCCTTTCAACTGTTAATAAACATCAAATGTTAGTTAACATAAATGTCCTATTTTCATATTAACTTACTCTCCTCAGCTGCCGTATAAATTGTGCCAGGCAATTTTGGATGTGGATCAGCTGTCTTGGCAGCTATTACAATATTTGCACCATCTCGGGCTGCTTTTAAGGCTATTGCCTTGCCTATGCCACGGGAAGCACCAGTAATAAACAGGGTTTTTCCTTTCAATTTGCTATTAAAATACGTTTATTCATTAGTATTTTAATTTTTGCAAACAAAGAACTTTATTACCCGGTATTTTTCATTGTTGACAATTGTGTTCTGTTCTGCAATGTGACCAAATTATATGAACCAAAAAAATCCTAACAGTACCTCGGCACATAACGAGAGCAACAAGTTGTTGCTGTTAGTGTGTGAATTTTATAATAAAACCATTCACGCGAAATTTATTAAATTCTTTACTATAATCCAATTCCTTACAATCTTTTGTTACATTGGTACAATATATTTGAAATTTAAAGTTGATGCCCAAAATTACTAAAATCGTATTTCTTATTATAATATTTTTTAATTGCACATCACTAAAACTAAAGAATTTCCCAACACTTCACTAAAAACATTTCAACCGGTGCAAAAATGCGATGCGCCACAAATAAAAAGACGCTGCCTGAGTGAACAACTGAAACAAAGTAGTTTTCCTAAAATAGTGACAATTCAACTAATGCAAAAATCAATACAAATACAAATAAAGCATGTCAGAAGTGATCGAGACCAGCCAGGCAGCCGCAGAGGATGCTTCGGCTCACGATTTTATAGAACTCAAATCTATGGAAGATGTGGAGAAACTGGAGCAAAAACAAATTTACGATTACATAGAAAAATTACACGGAATTATAAGGAAATATGATACAAAGATTGCATCATATAAGCAAAGACTAAAACATTTTGTGAGATTTGCGAATAGAAAGGCTTCTTTAAAAAACTAAACTGAAATTTTTTTACAGCTCAACAAGGAAGCAAAAAATTCGGAAGTAAAACTAGCGAATGGCGAAATAAAAGAGACAAAGGATAATGGTGTGGAAGGTGAAGAGGGAAAAGAGCGTAAGTGTTAAGACATAACAACAATTTATTAATTACATTAAATTCTACATGGAAGATATTTTGTGGATTGCTTAATTATATCCGTTCGCAATAAGAAACTGTGTATATTGGTTTTCATGTTGATTTGCTGGCTACGGCAGCCACGAGCGCAGCTCCACGCCCTGAACCGTCCTCGGAGAGCATAATATCAAATTCCTTATCCGGCTTGACCAGCTTCTGCATCATTTCCCTTATATAACTATCGAATTTCGGATGAAGGCGATAAACAGATCCATCCATGCCAACCACAACCTTGCGATCAGGGATCTTGTTAATCAGTCCACTGATGCCAATAGCCACCAAAGTTGCAGCACGCCTGGCCACACATTCGCAGATGTATTTCAGTTTCTGGCAGTCCTCCACGGACGCCTTATCCAGTCCAAAAAGCTCCTTAACAATGCGTCTGGTGCTGGTGAATTCAGGAAAGGAATCCTCTTCTATCTCCGATATGTGTTTCGTCTCAAAGATATCCACATTGTTCTGCAGCACCGCAACGAAGGCGGCCCGTTTGGGGCACAGCTTGAAGATCTTGTTCCTCTCCAGGGCGCGCAGCAGCACCAAACGCACCAGTTCGCCTAAATACATGCCTGAGGTCATTTTCTCGAACAGCTGCTCAGAGCGGTTGATCGACTTTCGATCCACTTCACGATCGTAATCTGTGCGCACAAAGTCCAGCTGTCCGTTCTCTCCGAAGGCACCCCACTCCACATTCACAATCACCTGACTGCGACTGCGTTTGTAATTCGGATCGAGTAGCTCCACATTCTCCACCTGCTCTACATAGCAGGCATTGCAGCCGGTGCCGACAATGACGCCCACGCGACAGTCGGGATTGCGATGTGCGCAGGACATCAGCGTGCCAGTCGTGTCATTGAGCAGAGCGACGACTGCAATCTCTGCATCGCCGCGCCTTTGAATGGCGTCGTGCAGCATTTGGCCCACGTCCTGGCCTTCGACACCGGGACAACTGAAGCCCTTCGTCCACCTCGTCAGCATCGCCTCCTTCAGACCCAACTGGACGCAGGGAAAGGAGAAGGTGAAGCCCAGCGGCAAATAAGCCTTATCCATGTCGTGCTTGGCCACAAATTTGGCCAAACATTCTGCAATATGATCGAACAGCTCCACGCCCGGCCCAGTCATTAGGTCCTTGGGCACGGGATAGATCTGCGACTCGACTGTGGCATCGTGGTGTCCCTTGAGCGTAACAAGCAGCACACGGAAGTTGGTGCCACCCAAGTCCAGGGCCAAATACTTGCCCATCTCGTCGCCCGTGGGCAAGTCCTGTACATATGTGGGAAAGCATTTTGTGCTCGCCTGATCGTGTGTGCTCCGCCGCAATCCTTTGGCTGTCTCGTTGCAGAAACGACTGTACACCTCTTGCACCTGGTAATCGCTCAGCACAAAGGGTTGCATAAGCTCACGTATTTCTACATCGACCATTTTTTCCGTGTTTTATTGCACCGCTGCTATCCGCCTGGCTCGAATGATGAGTAACGACTAACCAGACCACATGCAAGCACCTGCTAACGTCGCCAACTGTGGATTCAGTCGCCGCTGTTGCTGCTACTGCTGCTGCTGCTGCTGCGGCACTTGATAAGAATTGCAGTAGCTAAAATTTTCGCATTCGCAGTTTATAACTGTGTAATCTAAGCTAGCATCAATTAGAAAACAAATCAACTAAATCAGCTGAAACATAAGTAGAAACACACAACGTGTGCTACCCGACAGATTAAGGCAAGGCGAAAGGCGATAGAGCTTATACGCCGGGCATGCCAGCCTCTTTTAATGAAGCTACTTTAGGGCATATTCATTAAGTCTGTGATTTAGTCTTCAGAATAGATGTCTAGGGTATGATTTAAAAGCAGATTGTTATCTGTATTTAAGAACATTTATAGGCCATTATTACCAATGCAGTCATAAATGTTTTAAAATCTTGGAATTGCACAGAAACACATTTTTCAAACCATTCCTTCTTTCTAATCCACACTATGCAGTAATTCTATAGTGCAAAAGCTTTGTTTTTATTTAGGAATGGAATGAATCATCTCAAATAACAAGTTTGTTGAAGTTTCTAAAAAAAAAAACTGTTTTCTTATACATGAACTAAAAGTTGTACTAATACTTTCTACAACTGTTTTGTTTCTGTTTCTGTTATATATGTGTACATAGATTGTATACAGTCATATTTTTATACAACAACTAAAATGTTTATCATTTCTAACACAGCTAACAGAGTTATTATTTATTATTTTAAGAAGTCTAGATAACAGATACTAAGTTACAAGTGTAATTTTGAGCTTCGGACTGTGTAATAGTCTTACATTGTAACAGATGCAATTATCTATAGCGAATCAGATGTTGATAATGACCATATAGTTTATGGTACTACAAGTATCTTCCATGCAATTAGAATTCAGACTGAAGTCCAATACTCAAACCAAACAAACTAAATGAATGAGAATTAGATTATGCCTTTAACTCTTTGATACTTATTTTTTTTATAAATATAAAATTTTATTTAATTACCCCCTATTTCCCACTATTTGTAGTTAGCCTAGTTTMTTTACCTGTAGAAAACGGTTTTTATTATATTGTGTGATATTTCATATTGTTGTGAAGTCAGGTCCGTTACATACTTAATCTTAATTATTTCCTTATTTTTACTATAAAATGGAAAAGGTGATAATCCCCAAGCGCCAAGTTTGCGTCAAAGTGCGCGGAAGATTAGCGTAAGGTCCCTGGTAAATGATGTAAGCGGGTTGGCACAGGCTAAATAGGCGATAAGACTAGGTCTAAAATATTAATACAAATATAAATATAATATATTAACTTTTACAGTTTCAGCCACGGCTGCCTTTAGCTTTGTGGACGAAATGCGCCAAGCGGCAAAGCATGCAGAAAACTTGAATAATTTTGTCTATGAGCCCACGTCGGGCTTGTACTATGATCCCAAGACTGGCTACTACTATAATGCGGTAAGTATTGGTAGAGAGTGTACGTATGTATATATTGTCTATAAATATATATATATATATCATTTACATCAACCTAATCTTTATGACGTGCCAACACGTCGGAGGTTATCGACAAGCGATGAACCTACAGCAGTGCCTCTGCTTGATAAATACAAACTGACTCTGACTCTGCCTCTCCCTCCCTCTCTCTTTCTATGTGCGCCTCTCTCAGGAATATGGTCTCTATTATGATGGCAATACGGGCTGCTACTACAGCTACGATCAGTCGAAAGATTCGTATGAATTCCATTCACAGGCGCAGGTGCAGGTGAGTCTGTGGCTCAAGTGGCAACAAGTGTGAATTTCGCTGATTGATTAAACTTAATGATGATTCTTTTACTCCTATCCGCTCGTCTACACCCTTTTACTACTGCTCCGTTAAGAGCGAGTCTCTTAGATTTTTAGCACGTTTTCGCAATCTGCGCATAGACCGAATGCGTTGCAATGCATTAGGTAAGCGCTGTGCCTTCGAATGTGCGATAAAAACGCGGATTTCTTTTCTTTTATCCGCTTTTAGGCAAACAGCGCCGCTGGCAGCGGCGACAAGGAGCAGCATGATAATGATAATGAGGAGGACAATCTGCACGATGAGGTTGAGTTCGATGAATACGGTGGCGTGATCACGGATAAAGAAACGCTGAAGCAAATCAAGGCAGAGAAGCAAAAGCTCAGAGATCGCGTTGCCAAGAGCAAGCGTAAGGCGAAAAAGAAGCATGCGAAAAAAAAGAAGAGAAAGGATCATCGCCACAAGTCGAAGAAGCGTCACAGGGACTCGGACAGCGAGGGGAGTCGTAGGCGCAGGGCTCGCGATGTGGAGGACGGCGAACTGTCACAATCGTCGAGCGGCTCCAGTTCGGAGTCGAGTGATGGGGAGAGCAGCAACAGCAACGGGGAGGGTGACGATGAGGAGTCCTCCGGCGTGCCCATCTTCAAGGCCAACAGTCGCTTTCAAGGTGTCTAAAGAAATTCGAGTTTTTATCCGCATTTAGACTAGACTCCATATATATTTATATATACGTATGCTAATCTTTGTCTAATCCTCGACAGATATTGCCAAAAAGTATCCACCGTCTCTGCGCATCATTGTGCAGGAGACAAACGTCCAGGACCTTACCGTGGGCAGCCTTCACCTGATTACCTACAAGGGCGGCTCGCTGGGCAGGGAAGGAGCACACGATGTCATCATTCCGGATGTGAATGTCAGCAAGTGCCATCTCAACTTCCACTACGATACTAAGCAGGGCGTCTACAAATGCCGTGATCTGGGCTCTCGCAACGGCACCATTCTCAATGGCTATCGCATGTCCGAATCGAAGGAACCTAGCGAAACATTGGATCTAGTGCATGGCAGCGTAATTAGCATTGGCCAGACCAAGTTGCTCTGCCATGTGCACGAGGGGAATAGCACTTGCGGCTTGTGTGAGCCTGGACTGCTCATCGAGACGCAACCAGCTGCAAGTGCGCCAGCCGTGGCCGGAAATGTGCTCTCGCACAAGGAGCAGTTGAAGAAGCTTCAAAAGAAGTACGGCCTGGAGAATGAAAGTGAGTTTCCGGGTGGATGCATTGATGCGCAATGATAATGATGTATCATTATTATAAATATTATTCTAGAATTTGTGGAGACGAGCGGCAATCCCAATCCAAATTACAATGATCGCAGTGCTCAGCGACGCATCAAAGTGGGCAGCAGCACGGACAAGGAGAAGACTGAGGTGGCCTGCGTGCACACGTAAGTGGAAAGCCTACGCTTGGTGAGAGGGTAAACTTTAATCTATGCTTTACTCTTTGCAGTGAAATAGCCAGCTCCAACAAGGGCTTCAAAATGCTCAGCCAACTTGGCTGGCAGAAGGGCGAAACGCTGGGCAAGGGCAACCAGGGATTGCTAACTCCTGTAGGTTGCATATGCATATACGAAGGCTACCCTCGTATATTTATATATCCATACACATATTTTATTATTGCGTACTTATCCTTTCTTATCCGTATCCAGATCAATGTCGTGGCCAACGAGGGCACCACTGGCCTTGGCAGCACCGATACTTCGGCCAAAAGCGTCGCGCGATCCATGGATAAGCGTAAATTGGCCAATTTGAAGATAACCCAAGCACGTTATCAGCGCGCGAAAGATATATTCGTATTATCCGATGAGAGCGATTAATAAAAATTGTTGTTTTTGTTGCTATTTTTTGTTTTTTAAGTTTGAAACACATTTAATTAACAATTACTCATACATTTTATGATCATAAGTACATATATATATATTATATATAGGGTATATGTAATTAGAAAATCTTGCTATATAAGGTTAAGCTATCAGTCAATTAATTAATTTAGCTTCGCTCAAAACACACACAAGAAAAGAATAATAGAAAAAATATAGAGTAAAAAAAAATATAATAAACTAAAATAAATAAAATACACTTTGCAAAAACGAAAACTAAAAATAAAATTCGCGTGTGCCAACCAATTTGTGTATAAATTAATTATGAATTAGTTTATGTTTATGTTTAAATATGTTTGTTTTTCTTTCATTTGTTTTAATACAAAAGCCTCTTAAGATATGTGGTTTTTTCTTCTTCGGCCTCCTGCCATGGATGTTGCGTAAGAATTGTTGTTATATGTTAAACGTGCTGTTGTTGTTGCTATTTGTTGACAGTGTTGATAAATGCGATAATACTTTGCCAAGTGCATATATATATATATGTATGTATGTGTGTGAGTGCGGGCTTGTATATATATATATGTATATTATATTCACGGTTGCCAAACGTACTAAAAAATGTACCAAATCAATGGCCAAGATGTACCAAATGGTAGAATTTATAACATTCTGAAGAAAATGGAAATTATGGCTACATTTTCCCAATAAATTATACAGTGGACCCTTTTTTAATCCTTAACAAGGAAATGTACGCTAAATCATCGTACTCTGCCAAATCGTAAACACTGTACCTTACTTTTCTTCAGCAAAGGTACCTTGTACCAGTTTCTAAATTTCAACTTTTAATAATATTATAAGTATTTCCCTCAATTTAGAACCGTGATTCGAGTGGAAAGTTTTGGCAGCAGCCTAAGGCCCTTGCATCGTTTTACAACACTAAACAAAAACGCACAACGAGAATCTTTGGATGTTGGAACTACACAGAGAGGTGCGCTACATAGATGTATGTATATATGCGCACAATATATATATGTATGTATGTATATGTAAGCTTATGTGATTTTCTTTTGTTTTGATAATAATTCGCTAATTTGATCTAACAGACGCCCGTGGAGCGAACGCCTATGAAGAAGCCCGTGGCACACGAATCCTTGCGCATCTCACACCACGAGTTGTATGTGTGATTGTTGTATCCACAGATTTTATCCGCTCTAAATGGCTGTGAAGAGAGAGAAAATTTCCCCATTGAAAAAAGTAAATTCCCATTATCTGCCGTTCGCCACTCACCGTTCGCTGCTGTTTGCGTGCGCATTTGTAGCGGCAGGAGACGCAGCGGGGCATATGCGTTTGCAGGTCCACCAGACAGGTATCCTTTGGGCCGCACTTGATGTCCGCACAGGTGACGCGGTCCGCTGCAAAGGTAAATTTTTACGAGTCATACATTTAAAGCAGTTACAGTCGGGTTTAGTTTTTTATTTATTTTTCTTGAGTTTTTGCGTTTTCTGCGTTTTTATGTCTGGCAATTTCGATTTAATGGCCCCCTCGTGCATATCCTGGCCCAAAAAAATCATGTGAACTTCGGCAGGTGTTATTTCAAGATTTCCTGACAGGCTGCAGCTGGCCAAGCCACGAAATTTTAATGCCTGCTTCTAATACCCTTCAACGTTTTTTCTTGTTTCTCTGCGTTAACTGGCAACGCCTTATGTATGAGCAGCCAACGCAATTATAAGAGGTGTTGAGAGGAATTATTTTAAAGCACCTCGGCTAAGCAAATATGTTATATAAAAAATATTTAAACAAAAAATAAGAAAATATTTAATTGGTAATAATTTTTAGCTTTTGCGAATATCGTAGAAACTTTACCGTGCCTACGCTCTTGGTGTGTGCTTATGCTAGTTAAATTTCCTTTGCTTACATTGCTTAGGGCAATTATAAATTTCCTTTGTTTACATTCTGTTTTTTTTTAGCTAGGTGGCAACTTAGTTATCACTTTAAGCATGGGACATTTTGCAGTGCGAAATTTTAAGTGAAATAAAAAGTGAAATAAATGCAATTTAATAAAATGTTAATTAATATAAGAAACGGGAAGTGCATTTAAAGGGTGAGTGCATATTTTATTATTTATCAATGTTTCTGGTCCCTGCTTTAAAAAGCGCTTACAGCTGTTTTGGCTTTTTAAATTGGGTGTTGTCTTTGTTGTTGTTGCTGCTGTTGCTGCACACTGCAATTTTCGAGCGGTGGCACATTATTCACACCACAGGCAATGGCAATGTATACACGTATAATGTATGGCAGGAACCGCCCCATTCTTGACATGCGCAAGACGGTAGCCAAAAGCCGACTCCGACTCCGACCGCGGCCAAGGCAATTCAGCCAAGCGGCGCAGCCGCAAAAGCACACACACACATGCACAAGCATACGCATGCACTCGTATATCGTGTATATGATCTTGGCAACAATGTTGCGGCCTGGAGCAAATGTTGTGCACAATTGCTTAGCAACTTTTGAGCGAGGAGCGAGAAGGAGAGTCTGTCTGCATAGTTGTTGTTGCGTGTAAGAAGAGAGGGGTAAATGCGCTGCATAGCTTTTGCTCACTGTAGACGGAGAGGGGAAGCGGAAATTCATCAATAAAGCTACAGCTGTCTGAAAGGGGAAGCCGAGGGGAATGGGCGTGGCAGTCTGCATAACTACTGCTGCCGGTGCCGCTGCTGCTGCTGGCTGCAATTCGTAACAGTTAAAGTTTATTAATTTCAACTGCCAATATTCGCCGCAGGCAACAGTAGGCACTACGTCCTTTTGGTACTTGTTGATTGTGATGGATATGTTCGCTGGCCGCGCCGCCTGATAATGCCGTCACAATGCGGCCCAGCTGTAATTTGTTATGTCGACGTGGTTTAATCAACGCCAGCGGCAGCCCATACGTCCGTCCGCATGTCCGCAAGTCCTTTCATCCGGTTTTTAGCAGACGTTGCCGCTGCCACTGTTGGCGGAACTTATTGCAACATTGTGTGGCATGGCCAAAGAGTTTCGTTGTGGTCGCCTGGGTCATACCACATCTACCTTGTCTTGCAGACGGCGGACTGCTTACTGCCGACTGCTGGCCGCCGACTGTGGACTGTGGACTGGGGCTGAGCTGTCTGGCCATTTTGGCATTGCGTGTTGTTTAAGGTGATTTTAATACGATCGTAAACTTCAGCCAGCCCAGACGCTCAGCCAGACAAAAGTGACGTCTCGCGAACAGCGGACACAAAGCTCAAGTTTAGCGATGGCTGCGTGACTGCGTGAATATCGTAAATGGGAAATTCCAAAGGGCCGAAGTGTTCTGCAGAGAAATGCGATAGGAGCGAAATGGATCTAATATGCATACATATATCGAGGTATGGCAAATGTAAACATAACTTGCACATCTCTACAGAATCGAATATGTAACTATCGCTTGACTTGACGTGACTTCGTGCTTGCTCTCTCTCTAGCTTAGAACCGACGCCATCTCTAGCCCAGAGCGCACCGCACGGGCAATCACAGTGCCAAGCTCTCGCTCGCGCTCTCTCTCCTCTCCTATTCCTTTTACCACTACTCCTTCGCCTTCGCTGCGTCTCTCGAAAATGGCGTTTTTAATGGCTTGTACGTGTAGTCATATTTCTTTGCCTTGGCTTACGTTTGTGTTTGTGCTCAATGCTGAGTTGTTGTTGTTGCTGTTGCTTTACTCTTTTTTTTTTTTTTTTTGACTCTCTTACGGGCTCTCGATCGGGACAGTGCGAATATATTTATGTGAAAGCACACAAGCACACGAAAAACCATAAACTTACAAACCATAAAGATAAAATGCTCAAAAACGAAAAAGGAAAACAAATGCAGAATGTTTGCGTGTGTGTGTGTACATTATTTAATCGACTGACGATCAACCATAAAGTTGCAGACAGAAGCTGCAAGCAGAAGCTACACAGCTGCAGCTTAGAGCTGCAGAGCCTTTGCATGCCAAGCAAACCAAACAAACAAACTGCACGCACACACGCACACCTCGATGCTTAAAAGCAAAAGTGAATAATTGTTAATGATGTTAATTTATTTTAATATCCGGCTACCGTGCAACAACTTGAACAGTCTTTAAAGAGCGGGTTAAGAGTGGAAGAAGGGGCGGAGGGGGGGCAGCTGGAGACAGGTTGCAGCAAAAGGTGCGCAAAATTTATGAGTTTTTTGCAGCGCAGACAGCAAAACTAATGACGAGAATGGGACAGGCAAACAGCCAGACAGACAGAGGCAGACAGGCGGACGGACGGGCGAATGGACAGACAGCGACGACTTTAAAGTATGAATGGAATATATGAATCAGTTACAGCTGCCAAATGAATAGGCAAGAGTTGGACAGGTAGCTAGGTGTATATATGCTAAAGGGTATGCTCTAGAACAGATATAGAAAATCTTGAATATTAAAATTCTGCAAAAGGAACTGCGATTATAGTAGTTCATATTCGATTCTTTACTATATATTTCGATATGCATATGGCTCTATATATTCTCAAATACTATTTAACTTGATTAGATCTCATATTGGCCTTATAAAGAGTCAGCAAAGAGACCGTAAGCTGCCTCCAGCTGAAATTTAAATGAATCAAATTTGAATATAAAAGTATTTTATTGCGCAATTTTTAGATTCTAGATACCAAACTTAGTTCCTTAACTATGTTTTCGCACTCTTTAACCTATATATATCTACTCAAAAGTGGCTTGTTCTAATTGGCCAAGTTAAGTTGAATAATGGCAGAAACAGGTAATCAACACCTGAGTATTTGGCGACTAATTAGGCATTGTCAATTGCCAACAGATCTGTAATTAAGTGAGCCGCCGCCCTACCTACCTACCTGCCGCTAGCCCACCTGCCTGAGCTCGATGCAAATCAAAGAACTTTTTGAGTGCAGAAATTCGAAATATTTTGTTGCTGCTGTTGCTGGACTTTTGTTTTAATTGCAATTGAGTTTATATATTTTATTTCATTTTTGTCTTAAACAATAATTACAAGCAAACAAGAAAAC